GATTGCAGTGAGCCATGATCGTGCCACTGCACTCCAGCCTGAGTGACAGAGCAAGATCCTATTTCAAAAAAATAAAAATGACAGCCAAAATAAAGAATTCAACGAGGACTTAGAAGATAAAATGCAAGAAATCTTTTTAAAAAGTAGAACAGAAAAGGACATAAGAAATGATGATAAATAATAAGGAAAGGAGGATATGAGAGTAATTTGGCTGTGACACCTGCCACCACATTGATTATCAGAGTTGATTCGGCTGATCTGGCTGAATAGACGGGTGTCCCCTGCCTCCCTCACCGCTCCACCTGTGTCCCTCCTGAAGCTGCACACTTGGTCAAAGAGGACAACCTCCTCTGATAGAGGAGGATCATTCTTTGGTCAAAGGCATACAAAAAGTTGCCAGTACCTCCAAGCAAGAATAAGAACAGGAGAGATCAATGAAGGGGAGAAAGAAAAAAATGGCAAGGAGAAAAAAGAAATTAAAGTTTAAAAACAGACCTATAAAATATAGTCTCCAGACAGAAAGAGCTCACCACGTGCCTAGCAAAAAATCAAAATGATCCATCTCAAAACACATCATAGTGAAATTCTGAAATACTAGTAATAAAAGGAAGCTCCCAGGAAGGAAAAATACATCTCCTACAAAGCATTGGGAAAAAGAAAAGCCAGACTTCTAACAAGAGCATTAGAAATTAGATGACAATGGGGCAAAAACTTCAAAACTCTGAGTAAAAATGACTCATCCAAAATTTCAGCCAAATTGGCAATCAAATGTAACAGTGTGTATGTGTGTGTATATGTCTATATATAATATTTATCAATATATATAATAAAAAGTCTCCCAAAAAAACAAAGTTACAGCCTATACAGCCTTTTTGTAGCTACTGGAGGTTGTGCTCCATCAAAATGAGGGAGTAAATCAAAAAAGAGGACTCCATAGAGTCCAAAAAACAAAGGATCAATACAGAGAGAGGCAAAGGAATTCTCAGGATGACAGCCGGGCAGCCAGCCCAGAAACATTGTGTCCAGATGAGAGTAGGGGGACTGTGGGCCCTGCATGGATGACTCCAAGGAGTGGGCAAATGGAATCGTGAGCTCATCAAATAGGGGGAAGGTTATGTTGAGATATTTTTTGAGCTCTCAGAGGGTGTGGGAAACTAGATGCAGATTCAAAGAACACAAAGTAAATGAAAATAAGGTAATTATTAATTCCAGAAAAATCAGTGTTACACAAATAAGGAAATCTAATCACGATACTGTAAACCAAAAATAAAATTCTAAGGCCCCCCAACCAACTGAATGGACTTCCTCCTCAGCCAGGGCTCTTTTAAAATTTAACCTGAGATATCAGTTCAGACCAGGAAGGAAAGTGGGGAATCTGGCATGCCTCATTATACCTCTCCAACATTAACATCAACACAAACTTGAAGTCTGATAAGAAACATTTCATAGCCTATTCTCTCTGAAGCCTGCTACTGGAAGGCTTCCTCTGCAAATAAGAACTTGGGTCCCCACAGTCCTTCATGTCAACCCAGACATTCCTTCCTATGGATCCCAGGTCTTCAGATAAACTCAACCAATTGTCATCCAGGAAATTTTTTAAACTACCTATAAGCTGGAGGCCCCTGCTTCGAGCTGTCCCGCTTTTCTGGACCAAACCAATGTACTTCTTAAATGTATTTGATTGAAGTCTCATGTCTCCCTAAAATGTATAAAACCAAGCTGTACCCCGACCACCTTGGGCACATGTTCTCAGGACCTCCTGAGGGCTGTGTCCCAGGCCACGGTCATTCATATTTGGCTCAGAATAAATCTCTTCAAATATTTTACAGAGTTTGACTCTTTTCATTGACAATCCATATGTCATAAATTTAACATGAAAATACCAAAAAAGGATTTGACCACAATTTGTAAAGTGAAGTTCCTCATTTGCCAAGCTAGGAAGTCACAAATAACACCTTAGTTTGATTAATTTATATAGTATTTCTGAAAAATACAGAGATACATTGCAAAAGAAACAGCTAAAAGGAATTTAAAATTATTGCCCCTGCAAATCAGAGTTAGTCATAAGACTACTGTGTTTTTGTTATGAACTTTTTAATTCTATTTATGTTCTCTAATTTTAATAAAAAAATAATTTGATAGAAATAGAAATTATTCTTAATTTATTAGTGATGACTAATGACAAGAGCTAGCCTTCAGTGCCTCACATTAGCTGAGAGCTTTACACATGTTACATACATAACCCTTGCCCACAACCTTCTAAGATTGTTGCTAACATCACCCCAATTTACAGAGGTAGATATTGAGGTTTAGTGTTAAGCAACCAGCCAAGCGGAGTCAAGATCCAAATTCTAATTCCACTCCAGAACCTGAGTTCTTATTCTATACTGCTTGTCCATTTTTGAAGACTTTATTTTTTGTGCCATCCTATTAGGCACTATCAAGAAGCCACATACCCAGTGCACGCATCTTACGCATACACACACCGATGTCTTCTGGTAGAAAAAATAACCCCCAGGACAAAAGATGGCACAGAATTCTATAATCTAAATAAACTCTGATTTGTTATTCCTTCTCCTCACCCCCAAACATTCTAAATTGGCTAGATGAAATCAAAGCTTTTGTTATTCAAATGCAAAGTGGAACATTTTATAACATAAAACTCCACTGAGAAACAAAAGGACACAGAAGTGTTTCTTGGCACCAAGCACCAAAACTTGGCCAATGAAGCTCTGTTAAATGAGCAGATCCTAACAAAAATACATGTAGTTAAGAAGTAAAGGTTGGCTGGGCACAGTGGCTCACGCCTGTAATCCCAGCACTTTGGGAAGTTGGGGCGGGAGGATCATTTGAGCTCAGGAGTTTGAGACCAGCGTGGGCAACAAAGTAAGACCTCGTCTCTACAAAAAATACAAAAACTTAGCCAGACATGGTGGTGCATGCCTGGAGACCCTCTCTACTCGGGAGACTGAGGATAGAGGATCCCTGGACCCTGGGAGGTTGAGGCTGCAGTGAGCCATGAGTACACCATTGCACTCCAGTCTGGGGGACACAGAGAGACTCTGTTTCAAAAAGAAAAGAAAAAAGAAAAGAAATAAAAGTTAAGGTTTTCATAACTCTCACAGAAGAGCTTTCCACCTTCTTTTGGTGAGGCTGTGGGGAAAACAGCACTCATATCCATTGCTGGTGAGGGCAAAAATTGGTACAACACCTGTGGAGGTAATTTGGTACTATTTATTCAATCTCACTTCTGAGAACTTATCCTGTACATACAGAGCACACAAGAGAAGTGATAAATGCCTTGAAGTTATTTATTGCAGCATTGCTTTTAACAACTAAAAATTAACTGGGCACGGTGCCATGTGCCCATAATCCCAGCTATCTGGGAGGCTGAGACAGCAGGCTCACTTGTGACCAGGAGTTCGAGACCAGTCTGGGCAACATAGTGAGACATAGACATAGTGAGACCATGTCTATAAATAAATAGATAAATAAATAAATAAATACAATTAAAGATTAGGAACAACCCACTGCCCACCAAATGGGGGCAGGTTAGACACAAAGTGGAATATAATGGAACGCTATGCAGTGGTTAAAGGTAGTACTTATGGGCACAGACACTGTAGCCAGATTGCTTGAGGTTAAGTCTTGGGTTCTGGGCAGTGCCACACTGGAGGCAGCCACCCTGGATGACAAGATTCTACTGTGAAATTCTAAGGGATTTTGTCAATTGTTTGTTTAACACAACTATTTTTAAAAATTAAATTATATGAACATATAATTAAATGATATTAAAGACAAGGATAATAAATACGTAAAATTCATCACCTTCTAATTATTTTACTATTATCTATGCTGTTGTCTAGGCTATTTAAGTGTATTCCACCTGTATGATAGAAACATTATACAATGGTGTGTGACTGAGCACCTCCTCCCAACTCAGTGTTCAGGGTCGACAAGTTGATGACGTGAAATCATCCACAGGGGTGTATTTACATCTCAGAATTGACAAATGCTACAAATCAAGGCTTTTGTTTACTTTTTACTTTTTGTATAAATGGGTTACCACTATGTTGCCCAGGCTAGTCTTGAACTCCTGGTCTCAAGTTATCCTCCTGCCTCAGCATCCCCCAAGTGCTGGGGTTACAGGTCTGGGCCACCGCACCGGCCATGAGCCTTTTTTAGAGAGCCATTTAAACATTTGTCATCAGTCCACTGGTTACATGTGATTGGTACCTCCGTTTTGCTATCTGTAAATTCAGGATGATAACAGTACCTATTTGATAGGGTTATTGAGAGGATTCATGGATTAACATATGTCAAGCACTTAAGAGAATGCTCAGCCTGCAATACAGTCACGGTAAAGGGGAGTTATGCTTCAGATTGTTACTACCAATACACAAAGATCTCCAAGCTATATTGTTCCATTTTTTAAAAGCTCAGCAAAGCATGTATGAATGCTCTATTTTAGATACAAAAGAGGGACAATTGAAAATACATATCCACAGTGTCTTCAATAAAGAAGCCTTGGAAGGATATGCAAAAAATGAATGAAAGGGGTTACCTGTTTCATCTTCGGTTGGAGGAATGGGAAGAGCTAGGTGGATGGAGGACTTGAGTAAGAGCAAGAGGTTTCAACGTACCTTGTATTTCCATTGAATTTTATGTTTTTGAGCTACAGAAACACATTCCCCATTCAAAACATTACAATAAAAACTGAACAATTTTCATTAATCCAATGAGCACTTCGTCCTCATCTGATGTAATTAAAATGCTATGAAAGTCCCTCTGTGAGGGTCAGAAGGGGCACAGAGGAAGAGGAGACCCTGGCTTCTGCTCTGCAGGAGTGCATGCTCCACTTGGAGAGGCAGAGCACACAGAGAACACACAGGGAGAACAGCTTGGAGGGAGGGGTGCGAGTCTGACTGCAGATGCACAAACACCATGGGGCTTTGCACCTCCATCATGCAGATACGACGCGGTTCTTAAGAGGTACTTACCCTGTTGTATAAGGGATGTTTATGCCCCCTAGATTAATGCTTTCACATCCAACAATAAATAGGGTTGAAAAACACAGTAAAGACACACCACTGCAGATCATTGCTAGTTTTGCAGATTCTCTGGCACCAAGTTTCAATTTTTTGATAATGTAGCCTCCGAGGACAATACCAACACCAGCACTGGGAACGATAATAACCCCTGGGGAGAAGAGAAGGAGAGGATTAATTTGAACTCATGTACACTATTATTCATCTTATCTATTCTCTCTCTTGCTCAGTAGTACTAAGGTAAAGAATCAAAAATTACTGTAATCAATACATCTTCATTGTGTGTAATTTTATAGTATAATATTATTTTCAACACATACAATCAACAATGGACTCACATCCAGATTTCAATAAAAACTTTTATACAGCAATAAAATAAAGACAAGCAACCCATTACAAAAGTGAATAAAACTTGAGTAAGTTCTTCACCAAAGAAAAAATCCAGACAAACAATAAACACGTGAAAGGGGGTCAACCTCATTATACAGAAGGAAATACAGATGATGCACCTAACATAGAAATGATAAATACTCAGGCGACAGGTACCCTAAATACCCCAATTTGATCATTACACATTCTATGCATGTCACAACATTCCACGTGTTCCTCATAAATATGTATGAATGTAATGTATAAAATAATTTTTTTAATTTGAAAACCACAGTGAAATACCACTACACACCAATCATGTTGGTGAAAATTGTAAAGTCTAACAATACCACACGTTAAAGATGGAACGTAATGGGAACTCTCAACACATTGGCAGGATGTAAATCTCAACACTCACTTTGAAAAACAGTTTGGCATTATCTGGTAGAGTTGAAGATATACACACCCTGTGGCAATCAATTCCATTCTTGAATCTATACCCTGAAAAAACTTGTGCACGTGGGTACCAAAAGAAGTGGACAAGATATTTGAAGCACTGTAATAGTAAAAAACTGGAAATAAACCAAATGTCCATTAATAAATATATCATGTATAGTATATCTATATAAAGGAGTGCCTCTATACACTCATTAAATGGAAAGAAACATAGCTACATACAGCTTTGTATGATGAATTATACAAAGACAATGATGAACAGAAGGAACCAAATGCAACAGAATGCACATGACATGACTACGTTGATATGAAGTTCAACAACTTGTAAAATTAACAGCATTGTCTGGGAATGTGCAAACAGGTAGTACAACTATGAAGAAAAACCAGGAGTAATTAACACAAAAGCCAAGATAGTATAGGGATTCATGGTATCAGGAAGGGATGCAGGAGGTTCCTCTGGTGCTGAAAATACTTCTTGCCATGACCTGGGTAATAGTTACTGCTGTGGTCTGAATGTTTGTGTCCCCAAAAAGTTCACATGATGAAATCCTAATCCCCAAGGTGATTAGGAGGTGGGACCTTTGGAAGGTGATTAGGTCACAAGAGTGGGAGGCCTGATGAATGGGATTCGTGCCGTTATAAAAGAGGCCTGAAAGAGCTACCTCACCTTTCCATGTGAAGTTACATGGTGGGAGGTCACATGTGAGAAGACAGCCTTCTATGAGAAATTGGGCCCTCCTTCATCACACAGGGCCAGGGCCTTGTTATTGGACTTCCCAACCTCCAGAACAGTGAGAAACAAATTTCTGTTGTTTAGCATTCACCCAGTCTATGGTAATTTTGTTACAGTTACCTGAATGAACTAAGGCAGTTACACTGTGTTCACTTTATAATAATTTCTAAATTATGTTTAATGTACTTCTGGGTAAGTTATTTTTCATTGTAAAAAAATAAAGAAATTGGCCAGATGTGGTGGCTCACACCTGTAATCCCAGCACTTTGGGAGGCTGAGGTTGGCAGATCAGTTGAGGTCAGGAGTTTGAGACCAGCCTGGCTAACATGGCAAAACCATGTCTCTACTAAAACTACAAAAATTAGGCAGGTTTGGTGGTGCACACCTGTAATCCCAGCTACTGAGGAGGCTGAGACAGGAGAATCGCTTGACTGAACCCTGGAGGCAGAGGTTGCAGTAAGCCAAGATCGTGGGGCTGCATTCCAGTCTGGGTGACAGAGTGAGACTCCATCTCAAACAAATAAAATAAAATAAAGAAATCATTATGGTGCCTGCCCCCAAGAACCTTACAATCTAAAAGAGAAACAAACAACTTAATAGAAATTAGAATACAATAAAATAATTATACGAAGTGTAGGGAGAGAGTCTTCCCTGAATGAAATCTGGGAGGGTTTCACACAAGTGGCAGTATTTGAGTTGACTCTCAATAGGTGAGACAGAATCTGCCCAAAGGACCAGCACAGAGACTATCCTACACAAAGAAAATATCTGCACAAAGAAAATACATGCACAGAGGCATGAAATAATGAAATTGAGGATTCAATGCAATACAAAATATTGAGTATGGAAAGGAAGCAGCTGGGAGGTGGAAAGACCTGGAGAAGAGAGTTAGGGAAAACGGAGACCATGAAAGACCATGGAAAGGAGCTCAGGTTGTATTTCTGATCATAGAGGCCGCTGAAGAATTCTGAGCTGCGGTTGACAGGATGGAAGCTCTGTATTACAAAGATCAATCTTGAAACGACATGCAAGACAGCTTAGATGGGGTCAAAACTCAAGTCAGAGAAGTGGTCAGGGGGATGACTGCAAAGGTCCTTGTGAGCCACAGTAGGGCCCTACAAAGATGGCCCAATAAATTAGATAAGGACAGGGAGAGAGGAAGGATGACTACATGACACCAGATGAAGGAAGAAATCTGGAATATGAGGAGGAAATGTGTGAGCAGAGCAGCTCAATGGCCCCCATTGTAGACTTGTTGATTGTGAAGGGCCTGAGGAACAATCAGGTGAAATGCCTCACCCAGTGTGTCTGTGGGCTGCAAGATCAACAAAGAGCTGGCTGGGGGATTTATAGCCAGGAGATGAATTCATGGCATAAATGAGATGCTCCAACAAGATGGTGCAGAGTAAGAAAACAAAAAGGCCAAAACTAACATCCAACATCCAGAAGAGTGCCAATGTTAATGCGGTATCATAAAAAGGTAAGCCCACGTAGCAAGTTGAAAATGGACAGCCACAGAGGGTGGAGGAAATGTGGGAAACAAAAATGTCAGAAGCCGGAAAAACTTGGATTTTGGATTCAGAAAGACTGGAGTTCAAATTCTCACTCCATTTTTTGTAGCCATGTAATCATGCAGGCTTCCTAAACCTTCTAACTCAGGATTTTTTGCCTTGTCATGGAGATGTATTCCTTTTACCTTAGCCTTAGAATGAAGATTACAGGAACTATCTATAAGTAGACACAGTACATAGTATTTGGTACATAATATAAATTGTAGCTATTAATTAGCCAGGCAAGATGGTGGGTGCCTGTAATCCCAACTACTTGGGAAGCTGAGGCAGGAGAATGGCTTGAACCCAGGAGACAGAGGTTGCAGTGAGCCAAGATGTGCCATTGCACTCCAGACTGGGCAACAAGGTGAGACTCTGTTTTCAAAAAAAAAAAAAAAAAAAATTGTAATTATTACCATTACAACTGTGCCATAGAAAACCAAGGAGAGAGAACAGGCATGGTGGCTCATGCCTATAATCCCAACACTCTGGAAGGGTGAGGCAGGCAGATGATTTGAGGTCAGGAGTTCTAGACCAGCCTGACCAACATGAAGAAACCCCGCTCTACTAAAAATACAAAAATCAGTGGGGCTTGGTGGTGCATGCCTGTAATCTCAGTTACTCGGGAGGCTGAGGCAGGAGAATTATTGCTTGATCCCAAAAGGCAGAGGTTGCAGTGAGCTGAGACTGCACCATGGCACTCCAGCCTGGGTGACAGAGTGAGACTCCATCCCAAAAAAACAAAAGAAAAAAGAAAAGAAAAGAAAACCAAGAAACCAAGAAGAGAGTTTCAAGGAGAAAATAGACAACAGTATCAAATGCATTAGAGAAGTCCAGTAAGAAAGACTGAAGTGAGACAATGTGTCACTGGACGTCTGACAAGAGCAATTTTAAGAGTGTCACGCAAGTGGAAACCAGACTGTGATGGGCTGAGTAGTCAGTCATGAGGCCCTAGAGTTTGAGAAATCCAGTCAGCTCTTTCTAGAACTTTGCATGTAAAAGGAAGAATGGATATGGGTCTAGAATTAGACTGGGACCAGGGTAGGCTTGGGGTTTGGAGGGTTGTATCTGTTTGCTAGGATGCAGAGAGGACTCAAGCATATTTATATACTGAGGAAAATAAACTAAAAAGATAATGAATGGTTGAATGTGGAGGGGAAAGTTCAGCTAATGACAACGCAAGATCCTTGAGAAGTCAGGATAATATAGAATTAATAGCACAGATAATCAACTTAGCCATGAATGGGGGAGAGAGACTCCCTTCTCTGGGCTAGAACAGGGGATAAATCCGTGGATGAGTAGTAGCTTTACAATGTTAGTTTTTCTGTTTTATTTTTCCATTATTTTATACACATAATGTAATACATATTTTAACAAAACAGTTGAAAAACATAGAAAAGTAGGAAGGAAAACAGCAAAGTAGGAAGGAACAAAAATCCACTGATTGCATTCTGGCATATTTCATTGCAGACGTTTTTCCTCCTAGAATTCATAACATGCTGCAGATTCATTTTTTATAGCTTTGATTTTTGTTGGGGTTTTTTTTTTTTTCTGTGCAATTGAAAACAAAACCACCTCTTAGAAGGAAGAGATATTGAGAACTTTAAATGTGGCCAAGGGTTGGAAAAACCATGGTGGGAAAGTGAAGGCAGCACTACTAAGAATATGTAATAGAGGGTACTACGGATCCAAACTATATTGGACACCAGAAGTCTGCAGCTGCATTCACGTGCATGGTTGCATGCTCCTGCATGTTCAACAACCCGCAAAAAGAAGCAGAGGAAGATTGAGCTTAACTTAAAGTCAGTTTTGCCTGGCAGCCAGTGTTCATCCTGTAATCCTCACCAGAGTCCTATGAAATCGGCAATGGCTTTTTTTTTTTTTTTTAGACAGAATTTCACTCTTGTCGCCCAGGTTAGAGTGCAGTGGTGTGATCTCAGCTCACTGAAACCTCTGCCTCCCAGGTTCAAGTGATTCCCCTGCCTCAGTCTCTCAAGTAGCTAGGATTATAGGTGCTGGTCACCAAACCTGGCTAGCTAATTT